AGTGGACATCTGAGGATGCTGTTTCCTTGAAGTCCGTTCAAATGGCCATCAAAGTTCACGGCAGGCTTAGCCCCCATGCATGCAACATTCTGGACCAGTTCGAAAGCATCTTCGGCAAGGGCCATCCGTTCTGCCTCGTGCAAGGGATCGATGCTGTGTGTCAGAAAACGGCAATGCCCTCGAACCCAGCTCTAGCAACAAGGTGGGTTTTTTTGTGTGCAAGGCCGGCAGTCTGCGTGGGTTGTGTCTTTGCAATAACATCAATAACGAGTAAGTCGGTTTGCTTGAGGTTCCTGGAATATGTGCTGGAAGCCACTTTCGTCCGCCAGCTCCCGCTCCACAATCCTTGCCCTCCGAGCCAACAGACCGGTGCGAGGGCAGGCCAAGGCATGGTCGCCATAAGCATCCACTTCCTGTGGTCCAGCCTGCGACGGGAGAAGGGCTCCAGCGGAGGGTGACAGGGAAGGCACCAGCGTGCGTTCGCGGAACTAAGGGTTGCGAATGCGCGATGCACTGTGCTGCCCTCCATGTGGCCAATCGCCTAAACCTTGGTCGGTTGAGCGGGGTGGTCGGGCACCCGCAACGACTGCTTCCCAAGTAGGGCACTCGTGCCAACCTTCCGCCTGCAACAGCACTGAAAGTCCGCGCTCGGCGAGTGGCTTGTCCACACGCCAAACGTCCGCCCCCAAGGGGGCGGCCCTTCGCCGCTGCTGTATGCGCGCGTCTTCCCGTCGTTGAAAGCAATGCCACATTCGGCAGGCAGCCGCGCGCAAGGCTGGCGGCGCGCGGAGGGCCCGCACGCGAACGAGCTGCCGCACTAGCACGCGCTCATCCGCGTTCCAGCTCCCTCCGACCTCCGCAGCCAGGACGCAAAGTCGCTGGGCTCCTCCGCGTCGCAGCTCGGGGTAGGTGACCGGTAGGTGGCATGTTTGCGGTTTTCGGCGGTGCGCAGAGCCACGCCAGGGGTGAAAGCAGCCCGCGGATGGGGAAATCCCAAAATGTTGCTTTATGTTGCTTTCGCATTGGAGAGTCTCGCCAGCAATCGTGAACTCGGAACTCCGAACCTTCTGTCGCTGTACATCGCGGCGCGTATACCACATCTCGAAATTTTTGCGGCACAACGGATCGGAACAGAGCGTGGGAAAACCGGTCGGGGTCCACGCTATCGAAGGCTTGTAACCCATCCAAAGCTGAGAACACCAAATGGTCGTTCTTGCGCGCCAGTGTCTGTAGCAGTGAACGTCGGGCAAACAAATATTACCCTTCTGAAAGCGGACTCCACGCAAACCCAAAAAAACAATCTGTGGAACTTGTTTCCACGGATTTAGAACTGAACCACCGCGAATGGGGGAGCATGTGCCCGAAGCGCCTCGCGCATGCTCGCACGGGATATGTGGTCGCAATCTGCCAAGGCGCGAAACGCCGCGGGCCATCGTCAACCAACCGGCGACAAGGCTGTCGCCGCACGAAGCTCCACACACGGGCTGGTGCTGGCCACTGAAGCAAAACAGTTCGGGACCTCGAAGCGCAGCTCCTGGGTAGACCCGGGGTGTTTTTTTCGCTACTGCGTGGCCCTCCAAGCCCCGCCGCTGCTTCAACTCGGCAAAGTTACCCGGAAGCAGTTGAAATCATCCCCATGTGAATTCAGGCCATGATCTGCGTCCCCCATTTTAAACACTGCATCGGTGGACCCAGGTTCAATCAGGCTCCGCGACCATTTGAAAAGAAGGGGCCCAGCCAGCAACCAAGCAAAACAACTGTCTATGCTGGTAAAAAAAGGCCCTTCATTTCAGAGAGTCTCAGAAATCAATTTCGAAAACCTTGGACCCCTCATTGTTCTTTGTTACGCGCCTCTTGTCCGCCTGCACAAGGCGACTGTCCTTCAACACTGCCGGGGCAGGCTTACTACCCGCAGCTACGCCTGCTACCCTGCTGCGCCCGTGCAGTCCAGACCCTTGTGGCCAACCGCGACAAGCGCAGTGGCAAGCGATTGGGGCTCGCTGCTGGTCCTGCGAGCTCGAGCACTCGCTCCCTGAGGCGGAGACCCCTCATGCCCTGCTGCCAACCTTTGGGCTGGATTAAACGCTACTTCAGTTTGGTAGACGTTGTCTGCTGTGGCCATCTGGTGCCGCTGTGCTGCCAGCGAGTTGGGGTGGCATCCGTTTTGTTGTTGAGGTCCAATGCGCAGCTTGCCGTGGCGGCAGAGCGCAGGGCGGGGGGAGCTCGCACAGACCACGCTCGGCCTCGATGTTTCAGCGGCCGCCAGCCTCGCACGCCAGCACCACGAGCCGCTGCGGGCCTGGCCACGCGAGCGCTGGGTACTGCGGCTGGGTACTGCGCGAATATGCAGCGCCGCGCGACCTCGATAACCATGACAGCCGTGCCGTCGCGATCATGGCTCCCCGGCTGTGGCCCCAATCCACGCATAAGGGCGACACGAGTGTCACGTTGCAGCACAACGCTTCGCCGCGCCGGGTGGCACCATACAGGACGAAGTCGAGCCCGCGCCGATCGTCGGCTGGGATCCCTGTCGCAGTCGTGTGCAACAGCCACTGCTGAAGCACCACGCGGCCTTCAGCACCGAAAGCTTCGCAGCCAGCGTTCGACACCACAGGTGGCAAATCCATTGGGTGGATGTGCGATGTGTGGTTTGCCAGCTTAGATCTTCAGAAAGCCTTTGATCGCATGGAAAACACATTGTTTGATGCACTTCTTCGTACATACAGCTATTGAAAGCATTGTATATGGGTCAAACAGGATTTGTTCACGGCAGCAACAGAATTCGCACAACTGTCCTTGTTCACGCTCCGCGCTCTTGCCCCCGCCTTCTTTTCTTTTGCCCCCTTTTGGTACCGTGGCCACGAGCATGACCGATACGAGAGCGATCTACGTTGTGCCTGCACTAGGTCTTCGCCGGTAGTCGGCTGGGGGTCAGGGGCGTGCATCCAGGGTTCGTCTTGCGGGACAACCGAGACAAGGGTGGTAACGACGGAACAAAAAGCTGGCGGGGCCCTCTGTGCCACGACGGCGATGATGCTGCTCCAGCGAAACACATAGACCGCACGCAAAGCCGACCGGACGGCAGCGTGCGCACGCCCAGCTCGAGCGAGGAGCCTGAGGAAGGTTGCATGCGGGACCCCGTCGGCCGCCAATCTCGACAGCGAACACAACGAGGTGGCAGCAGGGCGAGCGCGGCAGCTCGGGGTAGGTGTCGTGACCCTTACGCCGCAGCTCGCCGGATCGAGTGACACGGCTGACGCACCCTATGCCAAAAGGGCAAGCAAGCCGTTGCAGACGATCTCAATCCGGCGCGCGTCGGGCACCAGAGTGGGGAAGTTCATGTCTGCAAGGCGCACATTGCGGGCGACCTCAGCGCCAGCCTCCTGGCACACCCTGGCGACGGCTCGCTCAAGCGGGAAGGCGTGGGAGGCGACGGCACCGGAGGTTCGCACAGGCTGCGTGGTGCTGCAGTGGAAGTGGTGGGCGACACGTGTGTGAGCTGGGTTGTGCTGAGTTGCAGTTGCAAGTCACCCGAAAACGCACCCAAACCTCCCAGACACTCAGTTCGGAGCTGGCAACGCCTCGTGGCGGGGCTGTTGATACCGGTAAAGCTGGTTCTGCACGGATGCGGAGTGGAACGTGCAGGACTTGCGACGTCGGGACAAGGCGGCAGAGGATACGTGGCGGCGTCTTCATATATTTAACGCATATATGGCATACAGGTGGCGTGCGCATGGCAGAAAAAGCAAGGGGCCTGTTCTTCGACTTGAAGCGCTGTGAAGTGCTAACATTCGTCGGTGTGTGGCGCAGGGAAAGCTGGGTGCATGGTACCACGCTAGTGACAGAAGCGGCAACGGAGCCATGCTTCGCCATTTACGGAACCGGCACATATCATACCCACTGCAATCCTGACGGCTCGGCAGATCCATGCGGATCCTGAGCACAGTGCGTGCTACACATTAACGAAATGCGTGCGGAAGCGGTAGAGCGGTACAATGCACCGTGCGGGTGGTCTCGAGCCAGCTCATGCCGCTGTTATGCAGAACCCTTTGAAAGTCTCTCTCGTCTTGAAGTGGGCAGGGCAGTGCAGTCACCGGTGCAGGCAAATCTATGCCAATCTGTGCATTTCTTCTTGAACCGAGAACCGGAGTGGATCGCACACATGTGGCTCCGAGTTTTGCTTCATGCAGTTCGCACCACTTTGCACTGGCCGGCTCTTTGGCACACAGGGCCTCCACATGCGATGAACAAGAGAGATGCTTTGCTTCAGGCTTGACTCCGTGACAAGCTTTCCACCATCGGGATAACACGACTGGCTACAAGTTCAATCACACCTGAGTGGTGCTTGACAGGCTGTTCGATTTCCCCTCAGAGGTAACGCCAGCTTCAACAGCCTCGTGCTTCAATGAGTGCACGGCCCGAGACCGCGCTGCCCGTGCTGATTTACTCGCATCCCTCCAACCACCGTGACAAGGCACCACATGTAATGTACAGTGTGCTCGGCACAAGCATTTAAAACTGCATTCCCCAGGGTGGGCTGCAGTCAATTTGGCGGCACATGCCCGTTGCACAAGCACGGCTTCGTTCAGCGAATTAAGGAAAAATGCAATTCTCTGGTTGGAGCTCACGGCTCCTCGAGATTCTGCAGCTTCTGGAGAAGGGGCTTGCCCTGCAAGATAAGATACATCGAAAGCTCGGCTACGTAGTGGGCCTAGGTGACGTTGCAACTGCAAATGGATGTGGAGCAACATCGCAAACCTAGCCGTGCTTTTCTTGGAAGGGTGCGAGCTGTACTTCTCTCATGTCATCACCCCTCGGCACCTCTCAAACGGTGCTGGAGCAAACATTGTCAGACGCTTACGCTCAAAACAGCAGACACCAGCGTGCATGCTTATCAACATGCCTGGCCTTGCTCGGCATTGGGCCAGCCGGCGTGCACCTGAGATTCTTGTACTTGTCCCTTCCCCCATGCCTCCGACTCCTTCTCTGTGCACATGAACTCACAATTCTGGTGCACCCACAGCTCGCCACTTCCAGAGCTGCTGCACCACAGTGATATTATGTGGATCCAGGTCGCGCGGACTCAAGCAAACCTCCCCGACGCCACCTGCAATAGTCTTCCAGCTCCTGATCGAAACTGTGCGAAAGTAGCTTGAGACGGACATGTTCCCACATTCAACTACACATCTCTGACTCGTCCTTGTTGTATTGATGTAAGATGTCAATCTCGTTCTCTATGAAGCCTTTCAACTTCCTCCGCAGGGCTCCCCACTGCATGAGAGATATGAGAGCACTTCAGCTCTGAGAGCCATGGACCTCGATGCCTACGCTACACGGTTTCCTTTGCTGCATCGCGGTCGAAACGCCCGCCCCTCCCCTCTGCCCGGCTCTTCTCGGGCCCGTGCCTTTCGCAGGCTTCTCTCTCGGACAGGTGCAAGTGCCTCAAAGAAAACAGAAACGCATCATTGCGAGACCCTTCTCGAAGCCGAGGGAGGTCGACAGTTCCATGTCGCAATGGTTGAGGCAGTCCAAGCTTGCAGTCAGATGTTAACATGCCACATGCAAGACTTGGAGTCAAACAGCTTGGCGATCTTCTGCTCATATTTTTGCTTCAGGGTGCCCAAATGATCTCGACTCTCCTTGCGCGGTGACTGACAAGAGCACTGGAAGACTGCAATGACCAGGCGATGACAAATGGGAGCGGAGACAGCTGCAAGATGTTGCAAGCACCAGCTGAGTCTGTGGTCATACAGCGGAAACGGGCATCGAATCTCGCATCATGCCATTCTGTGCCGTCTTACATACCACAGAACGAGACGACGTGCCGGCATGGCGCCGGACCGTGCCATGCGAGGCACATCGCTGCAAAATATATGACATCGAAACTCAACTTAGTGAGTTTACTGTATGTCGTAGACTCGTCTTCTGTAGCACCCTAAATTCCTGACCTTCTCTAAATGATCTAGTGAGGATTCAAAGATCGAACTCTGATGCCCTAGTAAGCCTGGACAGCAGGCTTGCAAACCCTCCCGCTGCACACCACTGAGCCCCCCAAGCACTGGAGTTTTGCGCAAGTCTAGATTAAAGCGATTAGAGCATCATTGCATAGCTCGAATATGTGTTTCGGTTGCGATGTCATGCAACCGCTAATGCAAGCTCCTGCTCTTCCTCGCTGAGCACGCGAGACTTCCGGCCCAGCTCCGCTTGCATCTGGCCACGGGTAGGTCTCGCATGTCGGGTCTTACAGAACGGGGAGACGCACTCGAGCGGGCGCACCTTGGCAAGCAGCTCTGCATGGCGGTGGGCACGCGCGAGCCTCGGAGGACCAGTCTCGACTCCGCCTGCCGGAACCTTTTGGATTCATCTCAAATCTGCCAATGGGCTGATGCTGCACATCCGAAACTCTCCGAAATTGGCATTTCAAGATATTTCAAGGTTGCGGCATGTCGCTGAGAGAGTTAACATCATTGCGCCGCACCTCGTGATGCTCACGTCGTCAACATACTTGAACAGCTGTCAAGCTGTCATGAAATCAAGCTCTTTCGCTACCTTGTCATCGCGTTGCTGCAGCTGCTGCTCGAGGTCCTGCATGGGCATGAATGTGCGTACAAAGACATGGCAAGAGGGCTTCAAAAACTGACCCGGTAGCAAGGCGGCACTCTCACAAGTCGCCACTGGCATATGCAAACATTGGAACACCATGCATGTGAACTACACTTCGCCGTCCTGCATGTCTCCCTTTTCCCAGTGCTGCAAATTCAGCCAGTGCATCTGCATATCCGGTAATTATTATGTTTTCGGTAGCACTCTACTGGATCTATCTACCTACTGAGAAATTACATATGACATCAGCTATGAGTCTCTCCAGCTGCCGGCTTGCCTGGTATGGCCGGCCTGCGAATCTCTATGCGCAAAACGCCGGTACACAAGACTTTCAGGCATGTGCAGTATTTCCACGGGGGACATCTATCGGAACCACCTCGACACCTAAAGCAGGACTTGCATGGACTGGGCCCCGGAAAGCAGGACGGAAATCGAGCAAAGAGCCTGATCGCAGTGCCACGGTCACGGATTAGCAGAAACGTGACTACTGCGGTATACCTGTTTCTCCGCTCCCCCTATGAATGCGGCAAGTCCTTGCAGCGCTCACGACCTGAGATCCAGCTTGCATGGTGGAGAGCTTCAGCTTCATTCTGGTAGAGCCTTTTGAGCCAAACGCTCTCTTTGGCCCTCGAAGAGCTCTCATTAACCGTCAAACTTGCAAAGACAATCATGCCCCAAGCTTTACTCTTCGCGTGATGTTATGAGTACAACTGAACACATGTGTCGGGCTGGCGGCTTCCTTCCACCTCCTTGTTTGCGGCTTCCAAGCGCCTGACAGCAGGCTCTCACAGTAAGTGTGTTTTTGCATGCGACTTTCTGAGCTTCAGAGACTTCCTGGTACAGTGGCTGCCACTAGCTTCGAATGTAAGGATGACCAGGTCATGAGGTTCCACCAGCAGCTGACGAACTCTGTAACGAGGGCCACCAATGAGGCTTGCACCATGTCAGCTCGGAAGCTCGTTTCTGCGCTTCCTTCGCACCTTGATAAGCTTCAAGATGCTTCGACTGAGGTCTGTCTTCCACCGTCTCGCCGTATCTCGTTCCTGTTTCGCGTTGGGACTTTGTATCGTGAGACTCTTTGATCCCTGCTCGCAAGCAAAAGATCGAATAGATTCCGCTAGCCTTAGCATCCATCTGCATGGTATGCAGCTCAATTATGCTCAAGCTACGTCTTGCACAGGTGCTCCTCAGGCAGTGGGTGTGGGAGACAAGGAATGGGTTGCTGATGACGCGAAGGAGAATTGCAGACGCTCCTGGCGTTTCAATTAATGGCTCCTGCCGCGCACCCACCGTGCCCCCTCACCTACCCACCCACGGTCACGTGGTCATCTTGATTGTCAAGCCACTCGCAGGATTGCCAGCATGTCAGTATGCTCTCGAAACCCTGCTGTAAAGCTCTAATTAAACGGTTATGATTCCACAACTCGCCATCTCACTCCAGATAAGTGCGCGTGAAATTGTGCCTCCCGAACCAGTCCCGTGCGGTTCTGCCTCCCGCTGCCGTGTTTCTACGTTCCGGGGTGCGACATATCTTCCCGTCGCGGCGCATTTTGGACTCATGGTATGGTGCAAGTAAGGTGCCCAAAGTGAGTCTGGAATGGTTTCTGCGGCTGGGTGCTTTCACAGCGTGGTGTCTATGATGGTGTAATGTTATGCTGTGTTTTTTTGTCGTGCTTCCCTCTTCTATCCGCTCGGAGAAGCCTGCAAAAGATGAAGACAGGAACAACACATTCCCGTCCGTCCTCCCCATCGTCTTTTTGAAACTGCTACGTGTTCGTGTTTATGTGCGTATGTATGTATATGCAAATATAAGATATAATACGTAACATAAAGAACACCAGCAGAAAAAAAATCCAACAAAAGAGACAGCAAAGTGGGAAGAAGCGTGAATGCCGATGCTGCCTTTATGATACAGAAGCCGCGATCCGGGGCGCGTGGATAAAGTTTAGTTTCTCGATGTTTCTCGCTTATCATGTTGGCATTGATTATTTGTCGTGGTTTAAGCTAGAAGTCACAGCAGAAGCAGCAGCAACAATGTCGACACCAAGACACGACTAGCCCTTTGATTGCATGTTATGTGGGTGGTTGTCAAAATTATGGTCCCTTTTTGGGTACCCCAAATATTAGATGCCGTATCATAATAAGGACCCAAAAAGGGACCATATATTTGACAATCAACCATGTGTATGTCTTCGTCTTTTGCATTCCACTGAATACGAGGCCGATGTAGCAGGTCGGTGCATACAGTAGACAAAGCAAATTTGCACATATCGTACTGAATCTAACTGTATATTGGTATACAGTAGCTCTGCATTGAAGATGTATCTATATGTCTACATAGGGGGGTAATATGCATAAACATGAGCAAGTTATGTAGATGCATGTAGGCAGGTGTGCTGAGCGTGCCTGCCTGCCTGCGTGCGTTCATCAGGCGAGCAGCCGGGACCGCGTGCATGCATGCATGCATGCATGTACTCATGTAGCCATGTAATCGAGTAGGGAGGCATGAATGTATGTATGTATGTATGTCCACAGGAGGAGTTTGATGCACTTCAGTGCTCGATCTGTCGATTCATGTCTCGGCATTGCACTTGCTGCCAGCTTCGTCTTCTGCTCCTGCGCAATTCGGTGCAGGATGTGCAGCTCAGGCAATCTGCGGCCACAAGGTTTCGGCACGGCCGTGAGGGAAGATCAGTCGGGTCCAGGCCAGGAAATATTAAACAAATTTAGAAATCACCTTTGGTGCTCCCATGTCATAGTGCTCAGCACACTCGCAAGAAAGCTTTACTGGTGCACCCCGAAGACAGTCCACCAACGGCAAGCTAGTGATTCTCGTCGAGATTACAGGCAGGACGGCAGGATGAGATGAGGGTCAGGGCCTCAGTGGAGTCCGCTACATGTACTTGTGCTGTACTGACTTTATATCTGAAGCCGTGCGAAATCAGCTGGTTGTCCTCGACCATTCGAGCTTCATCCAGCTGCTGCTGCGCCTTTCTCGCTGCTCCAAAACAGTGCAGCGCATGGCCAAAGAGTCACCGGCGGACCTTCTGGTGCTCGGCCTTCTGCCTGGATGGGAGCAGGCATGTCTGGCGGTAGAAGCAGGCATGACTGGCGAGCACTGCCAGTCACTGCGAGTTGCACAGTATGTGATGCGTCTCAGCTGTTTCTCGGTCGGCTTGGATTCTTGTGTGCTTATTTTGTTGAAACAACTGGGTAACAGAGTCAATGCTGCAGACCATCCACCTCCGCTGGCCCTGCAAACCAATGGCGGTGCACTCACTCAATAGGAGAACCCCGTTTTAACATGTGCCGATCCTGCTCACTGATTTTGGATGCATGCATGACTGGGATCCGTCCCTGGATGCTCACTGATCCACTGCGACGAGCAGTGCAGCATCGACGAATCCAGCGAAGTGTGCTTGTCAGCTTGGTTCACCGAAGCTGCGCATACCAGAAGAACGGGGGCGAAAGGGGCGACCTTTGCTTCCACCAGCGCAAAGTCTTTTGTGGTGCATGTTCGTGAGTGCTGGTGCTCCAAGTGCGCGTCCAATGAGTGTTTGGCCATTTGACAAGTCCAGCGCATATGAGGCCCTGGAACACTGGCGACGGTGTAACTGTACAGTACTATCGGCACATGTGCCAACATCCGGTCATCTGGCATGAGTACAGTCACTGCTCCTGAATGAGAAGTTACATACTCAAGTTCTGCTCGCCTGAGGCATCCGTCTTCATTGTGAGCGGTCCGAACTCCGAGTGTTTTGTAAGCCAGTTTCAGCGAGCGTGCGTGAAATGAGCATGCTTCCCCGTTGCTCTGTCAAGCAAGTATACCAGCACAGACGTTGCCGCCTGGCGAACATGGGTGGTCACATGTCTTCCTGTGCCTCGCTACATGCTAGGCTGCTAGAAGCGACAAATCGCTCAGCGGCCTTGCCAGCTCCTGGCTCCGGTCTCGCAGCTGACGACGGAATTCATCGATCTGCAAGTCTTGAATGCTGGCTCTGGAACCCCTCGGACCCTACGAGTCGAAAAGGAAAAACGTCAAGGTCACCAGGTTGTCCTGCCTGTTGCTCTAGAGTGGCGACGGTGGTGCCATGGCTCGTGCGCTGCCTGCATTCGTAAAATGCGATAAGGAGTAAGCAGGCATGATCTTTCTCCGACAAGACTCCCTACTGATACTGCAAAGGACTTTGTCATTGTCGGGCACGAGCCCGAGCATCGAGTAGTAGTTAGTACCTATTCGGGCCCGGCGCCTTTCCAGCCGATCTAAATCCTCAGATCTCTCAGCGGCTTGGCGTCGTGCTTCTTCTGCCTCCCAGGTTCTCGTGACTACGTCCACATGCTCTACAGTTACAGTTACTCCAGTTGAGTTCGTCGGGAACGGGCCCGACCATTAGAGGGTGGACATAATGAATGCCGCTTGGTGGTCCATGCTGCCTACCCTTCCTTCCATGGTCATTGGGCTCATGGCATGACGCAGTGTGCGTGTTTCCACACAACTCAGACGAGAGGTCTGGGAAAATGCGGGCCGCAGCCCTCCCAGACTCCGAAACAGAACAAGACAAAGAAAGCCTTGTGTGCAGTATCGCTTAGGTATGATTGGGCTTGTGGGCCACGAGCTCATGCGTCACCTCTGTAAGCGAGCATCCTACAACATCCATAACAGTCCTACAAATCGCTACAATTCATGCAATGCCACATTCTCGGCAATGTGTCCCAATTCTGATGATGTTTAGAATATCAGAATAGGTATCATGGCTGTTGCCTCGATAGAGACGCAAGCATTCATTATAGTTTCAAAGTCCTCTCAAACTAGAAATATCGAAAGCAAGCGAAAATCCCGCAGTCTAAGCACAACTAGAATTCTCCTACTTTCAAGAGCTGCAGCTGGAGTGGGCAATGGCACTGCAGTGGCACTCACCTGGCGCCGCAGCTTTGATCTCTCCGCCTCCAGGCGGCCCAACCTGGGGTCAAATGATCAGCCAATGCAAAGAGTCGTCGTCATGCTCTGATCAGCTAACTTGAGCTGGAAGCACCTGTCAAAATTCATGGGACGCAGCCTATGACATAACAGCTGTGAGCTGAATGTAACTTCGAAGAGAGCTCCAAGGCCAGGACTTCTCTAGCTGCTCACGATGCTCTTCCGCCACACGTCGTGCCTGAGCGGTAGCGTGACAGCAGGCCAAGAGCCTCCACAGCGCCGCAGCATGCTGCAATGTGCAGCAGGCCTGCTGCTGGGAAGACTCAAGCTCGTGCTGCAGGGCTTCAGCTTCCTCTCTCGCTTCGTCCCGTTCCTTCTGCAGCCTCTGCACTTCCACTTCGCGCTCCTTCCAAGCTGCGTGCAACCTCTCCTGTCGGAGCGCCATCTCCTGTAATTCGAGCTGATGCCCGTCGAGAGCTGCCCTGTCGGCATCTTTGTCCGCATGTAGGTCTTCCAGCTCCCGCTGAAGAGCTTCGCAGCGATCCTCGTGCTCTTGGCCGATGTGTAAAACTCGAGCGGCCTCCTGTGCTTTGCCTTCCAAGGCTTCCTGGAGACGTGCAACTTGGCTTTCTAGTGCGCTTGCTGCGCTTGCTTTGGACTGCGCCTGCTTTAACTCAGCGGCCAGTCTGGCAGTTTCCTCCTGGCCTCTTGCAGCCCGAGCCTCAGCGCGCTTCGTCGCGCTCTCGAGCTCAGTGAGTTTCAAACTCTGCGCAAAGTGCTCTTGGGCTTTCTGGAGGGATTCAGACTTTAACTGCTGTGCTTGGGAGTGTGCATCCTCAAAAGCATCCTTTTGAGATTTTAAGCGCTGCTCTGTGTCGGCAAGCTGGCGCTCAAGCCTCGTGCAGCGGGACTCGGCATCACGGCAGCGCACCTGCTCTTCTGCCAAGTCCACTTTGGCGGCGGCCAGCTCGTTCTCACAAGCAACAACTTGATCTTGCAGCCTTGTGCGCTTCTGGCGCTCTTCCTCCACATCACTGTGAAGTCGTTCGATGGTATCCCTGCATCTCAGGAGAACGGCGTCGCTCGTCGTGCGCGGGGACGAAGTCTGAGAGTCGCCCTCGCTGCGCTCGCTTGCATCCCTCCGCAGGGAGATGGACGACGGCCGTCGCCTCCTCGGACTGCGGCTGCCGCTGAGAGCCCCGAAGTGCTCTGGCAGTACGACATTCCGACGAACCGGGGAAGCCATTCTCTGTCACTCGTGTCGCTCGTGGCTCGTATTGTGCTGGCCCGGAGAGAAGAAGGAAAGTTTCTGGGCATCGATTGTCTTGGACCATGGTTTGTGTATGTTTGTGTCAGGTGGCCGGAAACACTCTAACTTGAATCCTGTGAAGGGAAACAATACAAGAAAATTCACGCGGTACGATGATGCAAAGCCACTCTCAATCTTGGATGGTCGTCCGTTGCAGAAACGGTCGCATCTACGCTTTTTGTAGTGTTTTCCACTTCTTTTCTGGTGCGCTTCTTCGGCTCCGCCACTCGCACGCGACTGGTCATTTGTTTCAACCGGTCGCGCACAGAACGATGCAATGTACAAAGACACGGTGAAGCCACGCGAGCTGCAGGGAAAGGGTCGACGATGCAGTTTTTGGTTCACAAAAGGACTTACATTCACATAGTAACATAATATTCTTTTGTGCCATCGGCGTTGCTGGCCCTTGTGGATGTCGTGTCGTTCTGCTCAACCTATGGCCTCTTGCATTCACTCAGTCGATGGACTCGCTGAAGAAGGCAGAAACCACTTCCAAGTTGTAGGACTGGCAGCTGGTCCATGCAAAGGTACGGCATCGCATGCGCCCTAACGACCCAACTGCTTGCAGGCAGTAGTTCTGTTGTCATGCTCTCATTGCCCTACAGACACCCTCTTGCACTGTGTCGGAAGAATGGACCGTGCAGGAACACAAAGCGCCGCATGCCTCCAAGAGTCTTTGCAAGTCCTACGAAAATCCCAAGGTGGCCGAGCAACTCTGGAGTTTATTCACAAGTCCTTGATCCTGTGCTCCACGCTTTGGTAGCCGCGAAGTCGCCATTTATGCCTGTATGCCTTGGAGAATTCACGAACAGAGTTGCCGTAGAGTCGTAGAGTGAAGTAGACATTAGGGCTTCTGCAGATATGACGATGCTATGGAGGAAGGCCAGCTTTTGCGGCTGGAGCTGGAACCTGCGCCAGCTGGAGTCTGGGCTGAACAGCTGAAGCGTCAACATTTCGTGCAGTCGTCTAAGCGTCTAAGGAGCCAGCTGCTGCTGGATTTCAGCTGCCTGCTCCAGCACCGACTGCCTCCACGGGGCCGACATCAGCAAAGCGCCAGGCACTTTGGCGGTGGGACCCGGGGCCACCACAATTCTGGATGAAGGAACTTGGTTTCGCCCTCCTGGAGCTGCACCTGCGGGCTGCGAAGGAAACCGCTGGAAAAGCCACCCACAGCAGCAACCTCTGGTCGGTATGCTAATGTATGCTATCGGACCGACATGAAAACTCCGGCATGCTCCGGGCTATCGATGCACCCAATAGCTTCTGCGTCAATCGTTCTGGTATGCGCTGGCCTTTCTGCCATGCTCGAATCAAGCTCAGCTGCGGTTATCATCGCTGAGCTGCCCTTCCACCATTTTGAGGGGTGTTGCTGTGAAGTGGTGCTTCTTCGTGGATCGATGCCTGGTTTCTCGACATCGCTGGTAATGACTCCAGACGAGGAGTGGTTGCCCCAATTGACGCGGGCCGGCTCCAAGAACGGCTGAACTCCATTGAACTCCATTTCAATTGCCATTCTTGAAATCTCTGATGCCATACTGAGGATAAGCATATGTCGCATGAGTGGTCGTTCAAAAAGGCTGGCTGTTAAAACGAAAGGCCCCAGCTCAAACAAAGCATTATTCACAAGAAATTACTACGTGATGCCACCCCTCGTCGCAGTCCTGCATTGGCCACAGTTAATCTTGAATCTGAATGCCCAAGCAAGCATAGCAAAGCTGGGCAAAGAAGCAAGCAGCCAGCAAGCTTGTTTGGGTTAAGGAATGGCAGGGTGTCGATCTACCCTGCTCTCGGGACCTATCTTGCAGTTGAATGAGCATGCACGCTGGTGCGGGGTGTGCACGACAGGCATTGCTGAAAGGCCGAGAGACTTCAATGGCAATGTTAAAAGGAACAACCCGAAAGAGCTTCTCGCAATCAACAAACTTCTGCGCCTCTCGCAGCGGCTCGACCTTGGAATCTCACACGACGCTTGGCTACAGGGTTATCGAACTCCAGGAGGCTGAGCAGCAAGCCATACGCACTTGTTGCGTCAAGGCCTTATTGCCACAACGACTGCAGCATCAAACAACCTATCGTGACACGCGACACTGATCATACTCGGAGCCCGTCGTGCTGGTAATTCAGCTTCGGGTGCACCCTGAGCTTTACGGAATCAACAAACAAGAAGCACATGACCACCTTGACAGCGATTCACGTTCATTGGACAATGAGGTTCGTTGCATTCGAGGTCTGGGCAGTTCCAAGAATCTGCCAAACGTTTCCTCCTTCACGTCCACATTCATCGAAACCTGCAGCTACGAAACTTTTCGCAGTGTTATGAGCACTCGAAAAATCATCCCACATGCAGCCGCTCTGCGACTAGTTGCACCAGCCTGAACCTTCTTTGCCGTGGCCTCCTTCGTAATGATATCCTGCAGCAATTGCAACGTGTGCCCTCCATGATGGCATTGCTACCGTTGTCGATCACAGCGTTGTGGGGCAACTTGCAAGACATTCTGGTCCTTCAAGACTCCGATGGTGGTGATCGAATCCGATCTTGGCAAGACGTGAAGCACATTTTCCACGCTCCAGCCGGGCCGTTGGCGCGGTGTCGTATGAATGCCAGCCTGAAGATTGCTGTGCCCTTGGAATACCTGGGTTGATGCCAAGTCCATCATGCAAAGTCACGATCCGTGCCACAGCATCGGTGAAGCTGCCTCCCATAGAGCTGAGTGCCAACAAAGGTGCTCCTGCACATGTCTATAGGTTGTATGTGCTCCAGTTGTAGGATGCGGAGATGCTGCAGTCCTGTAGCTGATCACCATTTCATCATCTGTTGGTCGGGATGGAAGTTCATTAACACCTGATTCAAGGATCGACTTGCTCAACTGTAATCCTGGCAGCCTGGCAACACTGTATCATGCAGCTGCAGCAACATAATTTCTAGCTGTCATGGAACCGTAGTTGAAACTGCTCAGCTTCCGGCAAAGAGCGAGCCATGAGTGCATGTCCGTCACGGAAAAAGGCCCGGTCAGGCGCAGCTCGTCTTGGCAAGATTTTCTGAGGCAAGAGAACTGAAACCTCATCCACTATTCACAAATGCTAAGCCATTGCTAAGCCTGACGCTCATCGGAACGTCCGCAGAAGCTTCGGCAATCTGCAGTGCACATACGTGGCTCAGTGTGTTGTTCTGAATGTTTTGCCTCTCTGTTGAGATATGCATGGTCCGAGTCTTGGTTTTCTTCGCCTGGAATACTCTACCTTCCTGGTCCGTTTTCTATCTCCAGCTCTCGATGCTGAGAAGGCCCGCCTCATACTCTCAGTGTGTAGCTGTACCATAGCAATCACCCATCAACACGGCAACATGGCCAACCGCAGCCTTCTCGTGCAAAGCTAACGGCTTGATGGACACGCTGATGAGATGCGCCTTGCTGGGGAGCGACATTGCTTGTGAATTTGGTTCGCTGCATTCCCGATCCCCCAAAACTGCCGAGAGTGTGGCAGTTTTGGGCTGCGTGGCAGGAACCTCAGTGTCGGCTCGAAAGTACCAGAGAGACGGGCCGGCCAGAAATACATCACGAGCGTCAACGAGTCTGAGTGTCAGTATCGTAGGGAAGGGGCCACGAAGGCCGAAAGTGTTCCTGGCTTTCGGGGCTCTGACTGCTACCCAAGTCCGCTGCTTTACCCAACCAGCACGTCGGGATACAAAATCGCATGGTAGTTTCTCTGCATGGAACAGCTTCCTCCCTCAAGCAAGGAGGGTGCACCACTCAGACCTTCAATGGTCCGCAAGCGTATCTGGAACCGGGTGCCTGGTCTGCTCATGAGGTCTTATAATCTCCCCTGGCCGATTTGGTGAGTCGGCAGAAACAGATTGTCACACCATCTGTGGGGCCTTCTTCCTGCATGCGGTACGTCCTGAGTTGTGCTCGCAAGCACTTCAACATCGGCAGGCTTCCACATTTTGTTCTTGCCACTGACATTCGTACTTGTGCACCTATTCTGAGCCGGAGGCGCTAACAGCGGATTCTGCGGGTCGCCCTTCCAGGGCAGAGACTGAAATCCAGAATCTAGACAGCTTACATCTGCAAAAAAGGGAGCCTTGGATCGCGAAAGAATCGCCCCCGTGCCAGAATGATCAAGCAAGTCCTGGTCAGCTTCATCTGGCCACTTCTGAGTCTCCCGGAACGACGGGCGGTTATGAAGGAGCCATGCATCTAGAAGGCCAGAGCTTGAAGCAGCTGTGAGCTGCTCGTGAAGCTTGACGTCTTCACCCAGTTTTGGATCTCTGGCCGCGCAATTGCAGACTTCAGAAAAGTCTGTGAAACCACCGTCCATGTTCGACAGTACGTGATTCCTCCAAGTCTTCGTGCACTCACTGTTGTGTTGTATTACTATGTGTTGCCCGCCACTTATACACAGCACTCCTCTGGCAAGCCGATTTTCGAGAACTGAACTCGAGAAGCCTCGCCTGCACAGTCTGCATCACAACATGTCGGCCCTTCCCCTGGACCAGACGGCGTTCCGCTAAACTTGTCTCGACGAGGCCCCGCTCGAAGAAGTGCCACTTAACCGACGATTGCAGATAACATGAATTCTTGCAACCAGTCGGGTGTTGGCGACGTCTTGGCTACCAAATTTCTGTCTGCTTCTTGGAATTATCTTGCACTTGAACTCCTTGCTGCCCGGCCCCTTCCCAAAAAAACTTAACAAAGTCCGCGAACTGCTACGGCTCTCACAGCCTGTCAATCCCAAGACCATCAATCGAAAGTACTGGGCTGTTCTGATGAAGCACCAACCAGCTTAAACCGAGCTAAGCTGAGTCCGCGGTCCACTTCAACGTCAGCCCGCAGGGAGATCAGCTCAATCGCAGCCTGCGACTCCACCTGAGCCGAGCCGAGGTCAGGAGTCTGTGCAGAGCGGCGCATCCAAGACGCACTCCCACGAACATGTGTGAGCGAGAGCCAGAGAGCAAGCGAAAGGGAACAAGAGAGAAAAGACGGGGAAAGAGAGAGAGAGATGGGAGAGGGAGAGTCAGCAAAAGAACAAGAGAGCGGTGTAGCACAAACGGAGAGAGAGAGAGAGAGAGAGAGAGAGCGAGAGACACAGAGAGAGAGACAGAGAAAAACTAAAGGAGTTTGTGACATTCCTGTGAATGTGTTTCTTGTCCGTCTGCTGACAAAAGTTGCATGCACATGTCGGAATGTCTGAGAACCACTACACGTATCTGTATGTACATATACGTGTACACATATATTTATATATGTACAGATGTACGTACGTGTATGCATATACATACATACATATATACATATATATATAACATGTAAATGCACGGTAACCCACCACCACCCCCACCCCCACCCGCAAGATTTCACCAAGGGCTTTGGATTACCTGTCGGGAACCCATGGGAACCCCACCCCAAGATTGCACAAGGAACATGCCTTTCGGCCTTCGCCCGTTGCACACCGGATGGATCCAAAATGCAAGATTGCCCTGGGTCTTTTCAGAAAACCTTGGATCCAGGAGCCTTGCTCTGTAGGGTCCGGTAAAACTGGCGCATGTCGCGCGCGGCGTGGCTCGTGAATCCATCTTGGATCTTGGATCCATCCGGTGCAACTTGTGCCAAGTTTTACCAGCTCCGACATTGTCATGCCAGGTCCAGTAGGCGCCCAGTTTTGTAAAGGAAGTGGAGCACGGGGCGGAGGCTGCACCGACTCAGATCGCGCAGGTGCCATCGGATTCGGAGACGAAATTGTGGTCACCGGCGGCTGGGGTGTGGTTCTCGGTGGGGGTGTCGGTGCTCCCCCGGTTGCTGCTGGGCCATGGCGTTCAGCTATTGCAAGATTGATAGCTGAACTGTTAGAACAAGTTAAAAGAACTTGCAGGGCTCTGTATTCAAACCAGTGCAGCAAACGAACCAAACCAACGAGCAGGCACTTGTAAGTTTCACTGTCCGCAGGCAATCCTGCCTGTATATCGAGATGTCGGAGCTTTCGAATCTGTCCAGGAAGTGTCTCAGGAGGCCAGGCATACTGGCTAATCAATGAAGATCGAGGAGAAAAGTACCCGGAAGCTGCAAGCTTCCAGGATCCCGCGCTGGCTGGCGATCAGATCTGCCACGGCTTCTCCGGGAGGTTAAAAGTCGCCGTGCTGGCTGTGGCATCAATAGTGAAACCCAGCCATTGATGATCAGACACTGTTTCGAGCAAGATCCCGTCACAAAATTTAGGATCGCAGAATGCCCGCAGTGCTTGTGACTTTAGTGTGGCTTGTGGCCCTAACAAAAGCCGGTTGTCAACATATCTGAGAAACAGAACAAGAAGAAGACAAAGTTGCTGGCAGCGACTTTAAGAATTTTCGCTCGGCCATCAATACCGGCAGGCCTGACAGCACTAGGGGCACTTGGTTCCCGATGCATGTCCTTCTATCTGGAGACGGCACTTCCCGGCCGCTGTAAACACCCCAGTTGCGAAGGACAGTTCAACAATGGCTGGAATATCTTCAATCCAGCATCGTTTCAATCTGGCCTTAGTCCTGCCCATTCCCCGGGTGTCCTGTCTTGGACAACAAATCAACTGATAGGATTCTGCAGCCTGTGGGTTGTTGATATTCACGAGTGATATCTATCACTGCCTGCAACATGTCCTTTCGGGGGGCAGCATTGAAGAAGCCGGCGAGGTCATCATTCCATTCGTCTTTTGTACTGGGTTTTGCCCAGTGGCTACGCAAGGACTTCCACAGTTGTGACATGCTTTGCATGCCTGGGCAGCAATTTGTTGCACAAAGAGTTGGCGTACGAGATGATCGTGCGCCCTTTGGCAAAGTGCCTCTCTCTTCAGAAGACCGTGCCTTGTAGCAAGGATGCGGAAGTGGAAAAACATGGAAAAACTCCAGGAACCGTCAAGGCCTGCAGCAACATGCCCCGTGGCAAAGCAGTGATCCTGAAGCTTGTTCCGAAACCGTGCACGCGGGCATGGAACGGAAGCCAGCTCAAGAGCTGGGTCCCACATCGTGTCTTCCCAAGATTGAAACTGTTTTGATACTCTGATGGGGTACCTCTCGGAGGCTGTTCTTGGGAACATGAAATGAAGGAAATAAGTATTTGTAATCGAGAACGAGGCGTTTCAGCCACTTCTCGCAGTCCGAATTGAACTGAGGCTGACACAACGGCAACACACCCAGGGGCCCAGCTGTCCCAGGCCAGTGCATCTTGGTGCGAAACTTTACGACTCCTTTCAGCAAGCTTTGTACACGATTGCGATGGGGATTTCCAATGTTTCGACTGAGTTTGATGAGGGCATACACTTCCTCATCAGCAGTCCTCCTGGATCTGACAAGTTTCGCTGTTTCGAAGGCAGCTCGAATACGAGAGCAAAGTTTGAAAAAGCAGTCCCCACGCAACTTCTCGTGAGTGAAGAATCTCGGATTGCGACGATGCACCCGTTTGTGGAGCTTTCATCACATATCTCGGGCCAAAAGTGCCATACAACGAGGCTCTGCTTTTGGAGGAAATGCGAAATCCTAATGCTGTCTTCTTGAGAAGAGTCATAGCTCTCGGGCAGTTCAGTGGCGCCTGCCACTGAGCGATCAGCTCATGTTCGGCCACCCATGCCGGTTTGTGGTCTTCGTGACACTGCACCGGCACCGAAGCAAATTGAATCAGATTGTCGTGGGATGTCCAGTACTCAATGATAGTTCTGCATCCACAAACCCCGTTTTCTTGAGTCTTCCGTACACTGCCATACGATTCGAACGGCGTTTGGCTGCACCGACAGCAGTGCTTCCAACACACAGCAGCAACGATGGCTGACGGTAGCCTGTCCGAGAACGGCTGAAATCAAAATCAACTTGAAACATGCAACACACTGAGTTCGGCTTCTCAAACAACGAGTACTGCAAATCATCAGGATCCACTCCGCCTATGGCGCTCCACTTTAGAAGGATGATCCGGGTGCTGCAAAATGAAACAGCAGCAGAAGACACATCAGTGTGTGCACCCAGATCAGTGGGATTTTCGGTATCCCATCCCCAAACTCCAGCATAAAGGCTGCTGCACCTCCCACAGTGCACACTGCCGACGCAAGTCTCTTACGGACTGCAATGGGCTGGGCGCTTGCCTGCTTGGCTTCTGTTGCTAGTCAAGCAGCCTGAAATTGACAAGCACCAATGAAACTGGACAAAGTCGTAAATGACATCCTATCTGCATGCTTCTTCTGCAAACCTTTCCTCACAGCCGTTTCGGCGAGGTCTTGCTTGGTGAGTTCTGACGACTGCAAAACAGAGCTGACTTCAGCGACATGTTTTCTGAAAGCATTGGCTGCGCCACGATGCTGGCTCTGATGTTTCTTGAGCCACTTGTCCACTGCCACTTTGGTGACCGGACTGGGCATCGAGCTGGGCTGTTGAGGGAGCTCTTTGGCCAAACTTTGCTCAGCCGGAGATTTATCCGTTGTCAGTGGCAGAGAAGGTCCGGGTGGACTCGGGCTGCCTTGAGCTGATCTCGGCTTCTTCTCTGAGGTTAAAGCAATTCCAGCTTCCTGCAACTTCCTACACGAAGGATGCTTCGAAAGAACTTCTTGTTCGACGAAGGAATTGAAACATATCCACTCGGCACCGACGACTATGAAGGTGGCGATGTGCTGGGTCCCCGTTGCCAGTCACGGTTGTTCCAACCCGACGATCCAGTCTTTTCCCAGGATGACTTTCCCCAGGAAGCGTTGGACCAATCACGGTTCCACGACATGGTGCGGATGCACAGCCCTACTGGGATTTTGTCTCAAAATTAAAATCGTGGTCTGCTAACAGTACAGCCGCTGGTTCCATCGGGTTTGAAACGGGTCAAGACCTGCAATGAAACCTGGCATCAAAAGCGGGCATGAAGCCAATAACGACTACAACATCGCGGGGCTGACTACGTCGAATGCCGGCACCATAAGAGCAGCAAGTTTAGTCGGACCTGTGGGTTCCACGACGGGAACCAATCGAGGGATCCCTGCCTTTATCGTAACCGACTTGGCGGGTACCTGCACGGGCTGATCCCGCCGCAGGTAGCACGATAAACAAATACAAGACCAGCTTGCAAACTACCTGGGTCACACTTAGGCATCCATCTCGCAGCCACTCGTCTGTTTCTTGTCCAGGCAAGCTGGACGTCATCATTGGAAGATCAACTTCCAGGGGTTCCGGGGCCAATCAGGACTCAAGGCTCGTCGGTTCAGCTGTTGTTATGAAGACTGTACATGGCAACTAGGATCCTCACACATGCACACACAGCACAACAGTGAAGTGTACATGCACTCACTCTGGCTCAACAACATGGTGAATGTGGTGGTCACAAGCTGCACTATCGTGCGCACACACACACAAACAGAAACACAAAAACATAAAAAAAAAAAAATATCAATGAACCGATCAATCAAGCAATCAACAAAGCACGTCAGCACACAAGCACGCACACAAACACTGTGTCCAATCATGGACCTCCACGAAGAGGATCAAACTACTTGCTGCAAAGAGTTTCTGAACCTGGGGGCGCAGGACCCGCCTGGGGTTTACATTTTGGCACTGTCCCGATGCGTTGGAGTTCGAGAGCAAAGCAGCAGCAAGTTGGAGGCTCAAAGGGATTCCGATTGCTTTTGCCGGCAGTTTTTCAAGATGTTCCCAGGCGCTGACCGTGAGGATGTAGCAGGCCTCCTCGCTTGCTAGGCCGAACCTATGCGTCACCTGAAAATTTGCCAGGTACTTCAGGTCAACTGCCGATCGGACTGCAGAGCTGGGTCACTGGCCTTTGTGGTTGTTTGCATCGCAATCTGCTCCGAAGAGAGGTTCTGGTATTCTTTCCTTGCCTCCAAGCAGTCATTCTAGGAGGGTCTTGGGACTTCCCTTTGAAGGACAGGCCTTGTCAGACTCAGCTTTGAGTCGGGCAACCTGGTGGTCGGACAAGCCAGAACGTAATTTGAAAGCTTTGCCGAAGAGTGGCGGTGAGTCTTCGGGTTAGATTAGGTTAGGTTGGGGGAACCCTCTAACTACAACCGCTTTATCGCTCCTTAAACCCTAAACTCCTAAACCCGAAATCCGTGAACCTGATCAGCCGACCAGCCGACCAGCTGATCGGCTGATGCGCAGTTTGGAAACCCACCTTGCGAGCACAATGCGCTTTAAACCCTAAGCTCTAAACACGCCCTCAAACAAACTCCGGCCACCAGCTAAGAGAGAACCCGTGCATTGTCCGCTATTATCCGCTAGATTCGCAGAACCCAAGAAAGAAAATGCAACCTATTGCAGTGCAGATCCCCAAGCAGTGATAGAGTCTGATAGGGCACCAGGACGACCACGACGACAAGGATCACTAAAAGAGTGGCTTCCAAAAACCAGTCACACTTGCGATTCGGTGCTCTCCCAAGCCCGCAGGCCCAAATTCCCCAAGCGTAAATTTTGCTAAGATGCCTACACTACACGTCCGGTCAAGAATCGCTGTCCACCCGCCTCTGTTAGGTGGCTTCACCGAGTTCCTCAAACACTGGCTTGGCTATTTTTCGGTGCCTGCAAATGCTCAACATGGCCCAAAAATCCCAAAATCACTGAAATATGCTTGCCATTTGGCGAGGTCGGGCATGGACGCAATAGCTCCGAGCACAATGAAGAACTGCAGACCGGAGTCTAGGGTTGGGCGAACTCCAATTATTCTACACTCCCCAGCCCCAGCCCACGCTCGGGGCTTCGGTATAAAATCTTGAGAAAAGTCGGCGCGGCCTCTTGCTCCAAGACCTCTGCCACGAGTGAATCAAAAGAGCAAGCTGGAGTGGACATGAGTGGACAACATCCCAAACTTGCAACTAAGTTGCCTGAAAACGGCGAGACCTTTCGTGTCGCAGTTCGGCTTGTTCCGACTCCTCGGTGAGCACATGTTTGCGACTATGAATCCTGCTATCACGGTGCTGTAGATCTGATGCGTAAAGAGTCCGGGAGCCGGACAGCTGATTTCGAGCCCTTGACCTGTTGCCAAGGTTTTCGTCCGGAGTTCGGACTCCAAGTCATATCGAGCTCCTGGCCATTCTTGAAACCAAGGATGAGCCCGCTTCCTCCTTCTCCTGAAAGACGGACTTGCAAGCCCTCACAGTGTCAGAATGTGCCCATATTCACTTGCAACTTGCCTCTTGCTGCGCCATTTGAGTGCCCGTTGGATCCCGAGCTGCGCCGCTCGGTGTGAAGGCTAAGACTTTGCCACCAAATGTAGCCAAGACCTGACAGTTGAATGCTTCACTTTGAAGCTCTGACAAGACACTGCAAGGCACGCACCACTTCGACGTAATCGCCACCAGTGATGTGACCCGAGCCTGGTGACTGCAAAATACAGTCACCACGTTAGTCGAGCAGCGCAAGGGACTGAGAATTTCCCCAGCACAGCCAGCACGGAGAGCACCGAGCCCGGAGCTCAAGGATTGGATGCTTTCTTGCAAGCAGGTCTCCCACAAAGGTGTCGGAGCCTCCCACAGACGTAGCACTCGTGCGAACACTGCGGACAATTGTTGCAAACCTTCTTTGACTTCAGTGCCAGGCGTTAGAATGGAAGCTTCAACGGAGTTTCACTTCAAACTGCGCCTGCTCCAAGCGCTGCGAGGCAAATGCCTGAAAGGATGCAGGCGGTTACGGCCAGGCGGGCGACTTCGTATGGGACCGCAGGAAGACGTGTCGGGCGCTACAGCAGCATCGCCCAGGCCCCAAAGCTCCACGTTGCCATCGTCACGGCCGACGACAAGGTCTAGAGCACCACTCCTTACACGAGCCCGCTGAGCCCCAGCAGCTGGCTACAGGCAGTAAAAGACTACGGGAATCTTCACCTTTTGCTCTTGGTGCCAGGCTTGACAATATCCGCGGTGTGCAAACTGCAAACTCGTGCTCTTCTGCTTCCAGCACCTGTGCATACACAAAGAGCCAACAGCTGGCAGTCCATGTCACATCGGACACGATCTCACAGCTCTGTTTTCATCGAGCTGAACCCAGGTTGGCTGCCTCGCTTGGCTGGCTGGCCTAAGGGCCTAGCAGCTCAGCCAAGTTATACACAAGTTGATGCAGATTTGACCTGCAAATCTGGCGACTGCTTGCATGGAGTGCAAGTTGCTAAGCTGCAACATGCTGACACTGTCTCGGCCCAAGCATGCCCAATAAAAAGCGATACAGCTTCAGAAAAAAGTCGGTACACTACAGACCACACCGCAGCTTAAGGTGCATCTGACAGGCAGGACAGTTGTGAGCTTTTGCATGCGGTGATCCACCGTCTGCGTCGTTCTCTCAATGCAAATGCAAAGAACCTCTCTGCACTTCTGTTTCCGAAGGCAGCAAGGGCCATTCAGGCTGATGCAACGCGTCGTGCATTGTCCTGACAGAGCTCAAAGCTCGGATAACAGCAGCAGCATGCAGCAGCAGCAAGAGCTGAAACAGGAGCAGGAGCGACAGCAGAGTAACGCAAAGAATCACCACCACCACCACCACCACCACCACCACCACCACCACCACCACCACCACCCCCGCCGCCACCACCACCACCACCACGACCACCACGACCACCACGACCACCACGACCAGCCCCACCCCAAACTCTGCCCAAACTGCTACGAGACAGCAACAAAACTGGTCTACGCGTCTCGCGAAAATGTGTATGATGTCCCGGCAGCTCTGCGAAGGGCTTCTTTTCGTTTGATAAATGCCTCTCTTTGTCGTTTTGCCTCGTGAATGCCTAAATTTGCAACGCCCCAGCTACTACAGGGGTGTCGTGTGTCGGTTTCTAGTGCCTGCGGCAACATTCGCTGTTGGTGTTGGCGGTGGTGTTGGTGTTGGTGGTGGCGGCGGCCGGGGTGGTTCGGGGGCGAGGTTGTGGATAGGGGGGAGGGGAGCATGGTGCGCCGGTTGGTGGTGGCTATGGTGGCGGTGGTGGCGGTGGTGGCGGCGGCGGTGGTGGTCGTGGTCTCGGTGGTGTAGTTCCAGTTCGGCTTCTTCTTTGGATCAGTGAACGCGCGGGGTCCCACATCGTGGTATCGCGATGTGGAAAGACACCGACCGGACCGAAAACTATGCGGATGCTCATGCCGATCTGATGATGTTGCTGATCCTGACATCCATGGGTTCCTTTTTTGATGCCTTCATGGCTTCGGGACAGCGCTTTCTACACTTGTTCAATCTTCAGACATCTTCAAATTCCACGACTTTGCTGAAAGCTTGCCGTCCTTGGTACAGTTTACTGTAAGTTTGGTCTGCTTAAGCAGATTCGGACGATATCCTCTTACAAAAAGCAGTGGCAAAACATGAAGGTCTTTTCGGAGTAGCACGCATCATCGTCAATCCCTGGTTTCGGTACCATGGAGTCCAGAGCTCAGCAGTCAATCGGGCAGGTTTGCTTCGGCGTCTTTTTTCGAAGCATGATTTTGTGCCTTCCGCATTCTAAATCAATCGTGCAAGCATCCGGCACAGCTGTTGACATGTCGACCAACTTTGGGCCACAGGAAAAGCAGAGTACAGCTGCGCTTCAGTTCTTGAGAAGAACAGCCGTGCAGCAAGGGAAGGTTGCATCTGGGTGGTTGCCGGCATCGCCAGTCACATCACCTTCCGAGTGCGCTCTCACATACTGGCTTCTCGGAGGGTTTTGCGTCCAAGTTTGGCTCGCACGGTGCTGGCCACAGATGTGCTCGAGGCACCTTTTCGCGGCTTCGCAATTGAGGAATCTCGGCTTTGGACAGGTTTAGTGATCGACGCCCAAAATGCATGACCCAGGCACTGATCGTGTGTGCTTTGCTTCCACCTCGCCAAGGCGGCACCGGCCGCATTGGAAGCAGCATCCTGGGTATCCAGGAGCGATTAGTTCCTTCGTGGTCACGAGCCTCTGACTGAGCAACACAAACCCACTTCGACATGGAATCTAGCTTTCAAGCTCGAACTTGCGTTGGTCAACGGCGCAACCCTTGGGTTCAAGCTATCACAAGGATTCCTTCACTCTTCTTGGGCACTCACGTCGCAATCTTCGTAAGCCTAACTCAAAACACGAGCATGATGACAGCATGATGAAACTGCATGCCAGCTCGCCCAGCAGGCATTGCAACGGCTGCTGTGACCTCCTGAACATTCGAAAAGCGTTTCGGTTGTACAGCCCGTCATCGCACCACAACATCTTCGTGTCCAAATGCCCGGCATCCAGCGCAGCGCAAACATCGAATGTAGGATAATTGCGTTGCATTCCGTCGGCTGCATCTTGTACAAATATGTACAAGTATTGCAGGCATTGTTACACAATCACTTCATACAGCACGTATAGTCACGTCCAACCATGTTTCAAGAAGCATTTGGCAATGCTACTACGCAACAAATGGACTGCATGAAATCCAAAACATACAGAACAAACTGCCTCACCACCCCACCAAAATGATGCACCCAATTCGACACCCGAATTGCGTCGCACATCATAAATTACGCAGCATCATTTGGCACAACTACATGATGTGCGTTGAGCCATGCGCATAAGTTACACATCATGCTGTAGTAGAATATATCAAGATATGCCGAGATACCTTAACATAGGCGAATTACAGAACTTTTTATTGCAGCTAGTCGCAGCACGGTAAATTGCAAGCATGAACATCAAAACCTTATTACATGTATTGTATGTGCATCTCACTGCAGCTCAGTTCCTGTCAATAAACTTCAGAATATGGTATTCTGCAATCATCTTCCAATAACTTATCGTCCTTCAGAACTTCATCAAACGCAACTGCCCTCATGTCTTTCAATACATCACATGTCGAAGCAACGTAAAAAAATGTCGGACACCATGTGGCTTTTTTCCGCATCCTAACATGTCACCGCATTTTTTTGCAAATCAATGCAGTCCAGTGGAACTACCTATTCGAGATTGAACGCCAGCATACATCAGCACGGTACAGTACATGCACATGCCAATGTATATAAATAAATACATCTCATGGAGTTCATGACACGGCAGAACAACCAGTGCTTGAATTCGGCACATTGAATTCGGCACAACTAGCGAGACTTCTAAGCGTGTCACTTACGGTTCCGCGCACTTCTTTCGCTTAAGCCAATTACCCTCCTTTCGCTAGATTCCAGTAACCCTTTCTTTCATATTGCGCATCAGCATGTCCTGACATGACATGCGTGTATACTGACACAGACATGTGCAAGCCATCCGGCATCATCTTTAGCTCTCGCCCGACGCCGCTCGAGAAGGCTCCGTCTTGTGGCGGCTGCAAGTTTCTCCAGCAGAAGGGGCCTCGGATGATGCGTTCTCTTGGCGGGGCTCCTCTGATTGCAATCTGAGTGGCTGCTGGCCCTGAACTCCGTTGGTGCGACCGTCCACGAATTGATGAGGATGGCACTCCGCGAGCAGTGTTCCAGACGTCCGGGGATGTCCGAAACTATCGCGATTCCAAAAACGACCCTGGAGGAGTCGAGAGATGCACCTCGGAAATCCGGTTTTGTTTTGCGCTGTTGCCTGATCACGGCTCGGCAAGCTCGGGTGCGTGCAAAAGCACAAAAGAAGATGCAAAAGAACCATCCAGGTTCACGCCGGCCTCAGGCTTGCAGCCTGAGGTCGGCCGGGGGGTGGCATCAATCTACAAGGCTGGTTGCAAGGGATCAACCTGCACACTCGGAAGGAAAAGGCGCGGATTTATGGTGTGGGTTTAAGCGGGTCAGGGCACAGCTGGCGCACGTCTCGCATCCAGGACAGGACCAGAGCTTGTCAACCCTGCAAATCCCTGATCAGGAGGGCTTCCAAGATTATTCGCCATCTCGAAATAATCAGGCGTCTGCTGGACCAGGTACGCCCATGGCGCCGGCCGGAGTTGCCGAGGTCGAAGCTGCCCCTGTCATTTAGGATGCTGAAGCCTTTGTCACTCCAAAGCCGCAAACCAAGGTGTTGGTCCCTTGCACCGTGTGCCCCACGATGATTGTAGACATCCTGATTCTCGGGTTCGGGAGCTGGCTGCTGTGCACTCGCCTGGACTTGCTTGAAAGCTTCCTCGCTCTGGGCGATTCGGTGGATGCTGTCCATCTGATCATGATGGAATCTCAAAAGACAACACCGCTGACTCCTCCGGTCCCGTCCAAGAAGCCGAAACACTGACCAAAAAAATGAATCGCGAACAGACTCCCGCCAAAGCTCCGGAAGGTGCATTCCCAGACCATAAATGCAATGTCGTACACTTCTCGGGCTTCTGATGGTTTATGATTTATGATGGTTTCTGCCTGTTTGCGAATGCACATGTGCTGACATGTCTGGCCGCGGCCCAAGTTAGACAAAATACCTGCGTTCGCGGCTGGGCACTGGCACATGTGAGCTCGCCTCTTTTCTTTCTTTCGCCAGGGCTATGGTGCAGGGGCTTTACCCCCTACACCGCGCGCTAGTGCGCCCCCGACGGTTGCGGAGGTGAATGAGTTTCATGCAAGCCACGGGATGAGGGCGCGTAAAAAAGATTTCGCATCCCTCGGCGACTGCACTCAGCACCTTGTTACAATCATGCTGTTGGCAGGATTCCCCTTTCGAGGCAGCAGGGAAAAAGAAGACAACTGAGGTCCCCCGCCAACAGCACCTGAATGACCGTCCACAGTGCATCAGGGCAACAGCCCTTTGGATCGTGTTGAAAAGAGTTCAGTGGGCCCAGGGGCCTGGATCAGAGTTGGGATGGCTCAGCGGCCCGTCTTATTGTACAACCGAGCGTGCGGCTCAGACGACAAAAGTACAGAAGAAGATAGCGGAAGGCAGGAGCTATGCTTCTTACCTTCTAGAACTCAGCTGTGCGGAGTTGAGAGAAGCAGCAGTACTGAGGGTGTACCCGTGTACCCCTGCAAAGGAAAACATGGTGCTCACGACTCGAGGACGAATTAAAGTCAGTGAAGGAAAAAGAGGGCTACCCCGGGGTTATCCCCGATTCTACGCCACGCTCA